GGAGAATATAGTTCCTCCAGCTGAATTACAGAGTAATGATGTATCTTGGTGGATGGGGAACACCCAAGGCAACTTCACTGTGAAATCAGCCTGGGAACTACTGAGACAGAGAAGGGAAAAGAAGGCAGAAAATAACAAAATCTGGGCAAAGGGTGTCCCTTTTAAAGTGATTTTTTTCTTATGGAAAGCCTGGAGGAGGAAGATTGCCACAGATGACAATTTGAAGAGAATGAAGATAAATATTGTGTCTAGATGTTGGTGTTGTGAGGAGAAGACAGAAGAAACTATGACTCATCTTTTTTTAACAGCACCCATAGCTACTAAGCTATGGAGGCAGTTTGCTATTTTTGCAGGGATTGACATAGAAGACATGAATCTGAAACAACTCATAAACACATGGTGGAATATTTACACAACACCAAAGCTGGAATCAGTATACAGAGAAATGCCAGCAATCATAATGTGGACGATATGGAAAAGGAGAAATGGCATCAAGCATGGAGGAACGATGGATTTAAATAACATGATATGGCAAGTACAAGACATGGTTAGAAAATAATCAAAAGCTCATACCCTTGGATGAAGATAGGAAAGGAGGATTGGCCTCACATAGTTACATTATTGAAGGAATACAAACCAAGACTACACTATTATTGTGTTACTTCGAAATTTCCAGAAAGGGATAAGGTGAAATGTAATACTGACAAGGAGTGTAGGGGAAATCCAAGGAACAATGCACTTGCTTTTTGTGTAAGAGATGATGTAGGAGATCTGATATATGCTACTGCAAGAGGAATAGGAATAGCCACAAATACAGAAGCAAAAACAATGGCTATTAAGGAAGCTTTGAGGTTTTGTCAGTCCTTTAATTTAAAGGGAGTAACTATAGAAACAGACTCTCTCACACTGAAAATGATGATCGAGAGGGAATGGAAGGTACCATGGGAGCTTATCGAGATAATAGAAGCCATAAGGGTCCAACTACAATTTTTACAAGGAATCATCAAGCATATATTCTGAGAAAGAAACACAGTAGCAGATTCGTTAGCTAATGAAGTAGTAGACACGCAAGGCACAAAGGAATACCATAGCTTTCATGAGCTACCAGTTTCTACAAGGAGGCACATAAACATGGATAAGGCTCAGATTCCTAATCTTAGGATTAGGACACAGAAAATAAACAGGCAATGATTCAGCAAAGAAATAACAGGGGAAGGGGGAAAATACATTCACACAACATAGAGAAACATAAAAGGGATCCTAATATTTACATGCCCAAGGGAATAAAAAACACATAATCCTAGTGACTGACAACATATATGTGATTAATCTTACTAGATACCCTAGATGCAAAGAGATGGGTATTTAGCGCCTACCACCACAACAATCCAAAGCAAAACATCAATAGTGATTTTCTATAGATATGATAGATTTTGTGAGAGGCAAAGAACTAATGGAAGAAATGAGATGGGAAAAGTGATGGAAGAAGAACTTACACAGATAAAGTCGTTTCAATCCATTGGAGATGTACCTCGACCACCTGAAACACGGCGAGAGTTGGACTCACCGGAGATGATAGACGAAGCCATTACCAACAACCAATGATGGAGCTTGAAGATAACCCAAAGGAGAAATAAGATGAAGTGCAGATTTCAGCTCAAGGGTAACATCACACAAGGAGGAAAAGACTAGAGGAGAGAAGTACTGTGTACTCATGGAAGTGTGCCTAAGTTACATCTAGATAATTAGGAAACCTTCCTTTTTTGGACCAAGTTTTTGGGCCGATCTGTTTTGTACGAACTGGGTTACTTTGTTTTGTGTAGATTTTAAGAAAATGGGTCCATCTATGGACCTAAAATTTGTTTTTTTTTAAAAGTTAGCTGCTATGTACCTTTCAATTGCCGCAATGGTGGGTTCAACCCCTTCCACATAGAGGACCAATGCATGCTCCCACCTTTGAGTTTCCAGATGCACCTCTGCTTTGCACAGTTCCACCACTATTTCTCCATTGAGCACTAACGGTGCTATATATTGGAGTGTCATTTCTTGTGCTGCTAGTCGATTTCCTTTGAATAGGTTCGCCAGCTTCATCTTCTCTGGTGCCTCTGTGGTCTCCTTCTCCATCCTTGTACACATTTCCCCTGGTGTCTTAGTAGGTCTGAAGCAGTTTCCTCATTGGAATGGCATGTACTCTCATGCGAATTCACTAAAATGGTCGTTTCCATCACAATCACATTGTTTTGGGTCGGGGTTTTAGCATTCTGAATTGGGGTTTTAGCACCCGCTAATGTTGGCCATTGTTCTAACAAACACCCAACTCTTTTGCTATATGTATCTTTGTTGCTTTATCTCCGATGACCGTGTTAAGCTTCTTCCCTCATCCCCTAGCCATTTTCAGGTGCGGCGCATGTTAGCTCTCCTAAACTGCGCTGAGACAAAAAAGAAGCATAATTGAAATAAATCATGTGTATATATGTATTAGTCTCTGGGCCCGTGCGTTGCACGTGTGTCCCATGTAAAATTTTATAGAGTCGTTAGAATGATTAAAATTCAATATAAATATGTTAATGAGTAATAAAATGCAATAATTATAAATTAATATTTAAAAAATTTATAAGAAAAATCAAATGAGTGACATATTTTAATTAGTGTTTATAATTAAATTTCTTTTAAGGAATCAACAATAAATTTGAAATGTTAGTAATAGTTAGCAAACGTCCAATAAAGTAAAAAATGACTAATTTGAGCTAAAATAAAAATGTAGACTTACTACAATTAGAAATTCATAGAAAATTAAAGTATAGAAGTCTAATGGAGAGAAAGCGTAAAAAAAGAAGAAAAAAATACAACATATACATTATTTTTAAAACTTTAATCATAACAATATGGATGAAAAGAAATACATAATCAGTATATTATTTTTCGAGTTCTTGTCGATATCTTCTCCCATAATTAATGAAGATTCAAGTGTCCTCTTCATTGAGTCAAACTAAAGCATGAATCAAATAGCACAATAATAATACAAGTGTTTCTCTGCTATAATTATAAAATAAAAAGGATAATCTTGGGAATGCAGAGGTTTCATGAAATGATGAATTTATATAGATAAAAATGGAGGAATATCAAAGATATCTTAAAGTTATAAATTAAATATTGAAGGTTATAAATATGAAAAACATGAGAGTTATGAATATTATTATTAAGAGTAGCAATTGAACAAGCAATTAAATATGAATTATGAAAGTGAGTATCTAAAGCAAATAAAGAAGATAAATAATTAATAAATAAAAAAGAAAAAAGTGTAGTGCAAGTATTTGCGTGTAGAATCTTTGCTGGTGAAATAACCCACACTAAAAAGTTTCTTTTCTTAAATACCTTTGAAATAAAACTAATAACAACCAAGTTAATGAGCCTTCTGATTTTTTAATTGGGCATACAAGAGTTATAACTTTAAATAAGTGATGAGTTTTGACCTTTTAATTATAAAGTTGCAATTAAGGGACTGTACGTGAGTTTAATAGTGACTTTTAAAATTCTATGTATTGATTTGAGTTAAATGGGACAAAGAACGGCAAATGAGGAATATATATATATCAAATAAATTAAAAGAGAGAAATAAAAAAATCAATACCAAGAAAAAATGTAACTAATTTAGTTATTGAAAGGGTAAAAATGTCTAACAATTTCTTTGTCTTTTAACTTTTGACTTAACACCTTTTCATTTAATATTAATATAATAATAATATGATATGATTATAAGGGAATAATTTATTTCTTTATTGATGGCATTATTGTAGTTACTTAACTTTATAGGGATATTTTGGCATTTCAACTTTCAATTTTTTTTGCTCCCACTTTTAGTAATATATGATAATATGATCTCTACTTTGACAAATTGGCAGAAAGTAGAATATAGATAACAGTGAACTCATGAAAATCATAAGAGTGCCCTTGTGCTGCTGGTACAAGCTAGAGAAATCACCCTTGCGATTCCTGGATTCGCTTCTGTTAAATGGTCGGACACAACATTGTTGAGTTTTAAAAGGTGTGAATGGAAAATGAAGAGTTGCGACTTTTATGAAGAGTTGTGACTTTGATGAAAAGTTGTGACTATTATGAAGAGTTGTGACTTTTATCAAAAGTTGTGACTTTTATGAAAAGTTGTGACTTATATGAAAGGTGGTGACCTTTCCGAAAGATTATGACTTTTCAAAGGTTTGTGACCTTTCCGGTAAGGCACAATAAGAACCTTTTCACACTACCCTCTGTTATCTATAAATTGAGGGATTTTCTCTCATTTTAGAAGAACCAATTTATGGACTTCTTCTACTACTAAATCTAGTATTCTAAGTGTACTTTACTGCCGTTGAGTGGCTCACTGACACCAGCGTTTTGGGTATCAATACACTGGTGATTGCGATCATTCTATCCTGGGAGGACATATTCCAAATCAAACCTCGGATACTAGAGGGGAATAATTTCCTTAAGGGGACACTGTGCATTCAGTGGGCTTGATCTTCTTTCTATTTTTCCAAATTCTGGTATGCGTTACAGATTTTAGATTTGTGAATTAATTTATGTTCTTCTGTTCTTCATTAGTTCAGTAAACTTTGGTAACTTCGTGTTTTTGCAAAGTTTGTTGGAATCAGTAAGATTCTTTAAACACAGATTGACAACAATTCTTCTTTAAGAAAAAATATTTCGTATATTTTTTCTAATCTGTTTCTGATTTTTTTGCTCCCAGTTTTAGTAATATATGATAATATGATCTCTACTTTGAGAAATTGGCAGAAAGTAGAATATAGATAACCGTGAACTCATGAAAATCATAAGAGTGCCCTTGTGCTGCTGGTACAAGCTAGAGAAATCACCCTTGCGATTCTTGAATTCACTTCTGTTAAATGGTCGGACACAACATATAATCAATGGAATAGTTGAGGTGCAAGCAAGTTATCTCGACTCCGTTGTTTAAAAAGTAGGCACCACTAGAATTAGACAAAATTAGTTGAGAATAAAGGAACTTTTCGAAAATAGAATATAGAAACATGTCAAATGTTTTACATGCATCTGAAAACAACAATATTCATCAAAGAAATTAAAGGTAGGAAGCTCCTTAATAGGAAGGAACTCTAAAATTTCACACATACTGGTTGAGTATCTCATCCACTGGTGTATATTTAACATCAGGATAAACCTCTGATGCCTCTACTCCAAATGATGGATCAATTTCAAAATTAGTTTGTTCACCCTTCACAAAAGCAGGGTAAGATATCGATAATGCCATATTCAATGGAAACGAGGCTTCTGCAAGAAATACAAACAACAAGTTACGCCTTATAGACAAGACTTGACACTAAGGATAGAATGAATGTTGTTTTACATACCTTGTATGTTGTTGAGAACTTGTTCCCCTGGTACATATATTCTTTCAAGATTCTTTCCAGTTTTCTTCTCCCACAAGGATACCAACTCGTTTAACGTAATTATATTTTGTGGAGGCTTGATGTAGAGGATTTTGTTAAGTGTTTTTGGATCATCGACAGCCTTTATGGTATACGTAGCAAAGTCTAGTCCTTTATTAAAAACAGCTGTACGTAGATATATACAAAAGAAACTTATAGCAACATGCATGTTCATATGAAAATTTTGAACCAAATCGGAGTTTAATTTACCTTTAGCATTACCATCTCCTAAGATGATAACTTTGTCTTTGGGTGGACCAGCAGAAGGTCCAACTACAGGTCCAGGTTGTGCCAAATTTGGAAGAAAAAAATCAGCACAATAGAAGTTGACAACATAAGTGAATGGTATTCCTTCAGCTTCAACAGCGCGACGAATTTGAATTTTAGTATTAAATGTTGTTTTAGCAGGCTCAACGGTATGGAGACGATCTACATCATTCCCAAATTCAGAGGGAAAGAATCTCTGAAAGAAAAAGCATTAAGATAAACTTATTTTCAAATAGTAAATAGATCAAAGAATGAAAACTCATGGTCATGTAAAAACTTAGAAATATTGATTCTACTTTTTGTGCTTTATTAAAAATTATGTAACAAACAAAATTATTACTTAAAAGATTCTGTAACAAATGAAATTAAATTTTTTGGGTTATATATTCCGATAAAGTATTCATACAAATATATAACATACTCCAAATATTTCTTTAGTCCTACCAAAATACAACTGTGTAAGGTGTTTTTTTTAAAGAAAATGGCACAAAATATGAGATGAATGATGACACAAAAAATTATGAGATGAATGATGACACAAAATATGGGATAATAATCAGGACAACTTATCGTGGGATTAGATAGGTAAAATAACAAAACAACCCTGCTTAAACCCCATTTTTATACACCACTTTACATTCATGAATATTAACATCATTTATAATAACATTCACAACCTTAATTATTTGTTGTTCTTATGATAATATATTTTTCTATTAAAAAATTACATTTTATAAATACAATTTTTATTTATAAATATAATATAAGTTGAATTTATTTGCCTAATTCTTATGTTTATTTATATTTTGATTTCTCTCAAAATGTTCACTTCACTACTAAATATTTTTAATAAATAGTTTATTACTCACTTAATAATTATGTTTTATATATCAATTAAAATGTAGATACCTTTAATAATAAAATTTCTATTACTTTTAATAAACTTAAAATGGAAGTTTTATTTTTAAGCTAAATAAGATGAATGTTTTATTTTTAAACTAAATAAGATGAAAGTTTTATTTTTAAGTTAAATAAGATGAAATTTTAATTTTAAAAACACAGCACAATTATGGAAATGAACACCCAAAAATATTTAAGCTAAATAAGATGAAAATTTTTATTTCTAAGAATGAATAACTAAAACTTGCATAGAAAATGTAAAAAAAAAAAATACTAAATAAGGTGAAGGGTATTTTTGTAAACAAACAACTTATTCTTAGAAATTATGCAATGAATATAAGTTTGAATATGACAAACCAAACAAGCAACAAAAATTAATCCCAACATAACTTATCTAGTAAAACTTATCCTAGCATAACTTATCACAACATAACTTGTAGTCAAACCAAACGACCCTAAAGAAAAACTAAAATTAGGTTATGTATTCTAATTATCTAAACGAATGTAAAACTAAAGAACAAATATTCCAAATTATTGTCATTCTTAGACTTGAATTGATTTTATTTTTTTGTTAGAATTAATATTAATTTGAGCTTTATCAAAGTTACTCATATCTATGGACTATTACCGTTATTGCCCTATTCAAAATTCTAAGTCTCCAACTTGAAATAATATGTTAATTAAAAGATAAAACCTACTCCCTCCGTCCCATTTTATGTGAGTTAGTTTGACTCGGCACAGAGTTTAAGAAAGAAAGAAAGACTTTTAAAACTTGTGGTCCAAAATGAATGATAGAAATTTGTGTGGTTGTAAATCATTTCATTAAGGGTAAAATAGACATTTTATGGTTAAATTGTTATTTAATATAGAAATGTGTTATTCTTTTTTGGACTGCCTAAAAAAGAAAGTAAGTCACATAAATTGGGACAGAGGGAGTATATAAAAAAAAATATAAGAAATATTTATAAATTATATCAAAGTAAATATTTTTCTGCATAAAATAAATTCTTAAAATTATATATATAATATCAGGTTGGTTTGGTCTTGACTTGACTTTTTTTAGTAAAAATCAAACCAACCCAAGTATATTTAGTCGGGGTTTTTTCAATACCAAACTAAGTCAAATCAAACCACTAATCTTTTTTTTTTAATTGACTCAATTTGCGATTTAATTTGATTTTGTTCGACCCTAATTATAACACGCGGAGAGTGGAAATTGAATTAGTGATTAATGAATTTGGATGGCCTAGATTGAAGTGATGTATAATATCTCATTAAGAGCTAATATCTCATTATATAAATTTACCTTGACATTGCCAGCTTCCTTGATAGCAGCAATGATGTTGACTTGATCAGCTAAAACAGCATGACCTACAATAGAAATCACAACATCCACTTGCTTTATTGCCTTCACTAAACTCTCATGATCATATAAATCTCCCTGCATTTTATAACCACAAACAGATCATCTTAATCTTCTTGCATTTCAAAACTAAAACAAAATAATAATGTACATACATGGAGGAAGGTGACACCAAAACTCTTGAAAGTATCAATGAGTTTGGCTTTGGAAAGAGTTGATTCTGTGACCAAGACAAATGTGTCGTGACCAGCTTTAGCACTAGCTTCAACGATGAACTTTCCGATGTAACCAGTACCTCCAATGAACAAAATCTTACTTTTTCCGGCCATATTGAATGGAGAAGCTTTGATGAGAGAGAGAGAGCGCTTAGTAATAGTGAAGCGAATTGAGAGTGATTTGTTACTCGTAACGCGAAAATGGGTTTTTTTTATATAAAATCATAACCATAAGTATCCATTCAAAAATACCTAGAGTGTGTCTCGTGAACAATTGTCTTTTCTTCATCATTGACATATAACCAACAAAAAGTGGAAGTACCAAAAATAAATAAAGCCATGCATAATGTTTCAAGAGCAAACGGACAACAACTTCTGACATTGCCCTTTCCTTCTTTCTTTCTTTCTTGTATTTAACTGACATTGTGAGGTGTCACCGTAACTTTATGTGCAATGGTCATATCATTGAGCACCATTCATAATATAAAGAGTTACGTGTTCCACGACCTATTAAATCAATTAAAGATCTTTGAGTCATATCACCTTGAATTGCTTTTAGATTGTAAATCAATGCTTTCTAGCATGAAGTTGTTCAAAAACATAAAATTGTGATGGCTGAAAACCTTAAGTTCAATTAAGATGGGACCTTTAACATAAAAACTACTAAAAATGAGGTAATTGAAGTATAAATTTCATTGATGGAGATAATGTGAGCATCGTAGAACTAATTATATATTGATTGAATGACCTTTGGATAATATTATAGATCGTGAATAAGGTTAGAATTAGTGAATTTGAATTCCCAAGCATTTAATTGAAGAGAAAATAATTAATTATTTTTACAATTGCTTGTTTATTAGATGTTGAATGATTAATAGAGAGGTAAGCGTATTATAAATCACACGTAGACACGCGTGTTCTATGTGGCATACTACACCATGTAGGACGAATGTATCTATTTGTTCAATTTTATACAAGTTTAAGTATCTTCTTGTGCACACCCCTCATAGGTGTAGCGCGTTTCACACCCATGAAATAGACTACTTAGTGCGGCTTTCAGACAGCCAAGACTCTTGATCCTGATGTTTTGATACCAAGTTTTTCACGCCCCGAGGCTAGCCCCTAGACGTAACACGGGACCTAGGGTCACAAGTAACCAAGCTAACCCTGAATCTGGCATATCACAAGCATACTGAAATAACTCTAACCAAGAGGACACATAAATAATGAATAATCAATATAATCTAAAGGAATTCAACTGAGAATTTCTGAAAGAAATAACTGAGTTCAAAGTAGAACAACCCAAATCAACTGAGTTTGGCTCAAGATACCATAATACATAAAAACTAGAATGCAAGAGTAAATTGGAACCATGCTGAAAAACTGAGAATAAATACAACTATAGGCCTGAAGTACCTTACTGAAGTTAATACCTTGGGAGATTCTATTAATCGACATAAACTACATGAACTAAATGCGGAGTCCGTTGTATATGCCCCATTGAGAGGACCCAATATACCTTGATGGGGGTATAAAAGCATGATTGTGGCATGATCACTAAAACTGATGCCCAACAAAGGGGACTTATAAACCGACGATGACACGTAGTTCAGGGACTTGAGGGTACATTGAACTCTAGTCCAACTCGGTGCTAAGCACTACTCCCAAACTGAACACTAGTAGCTTATTTTAAATTGTGGTCCTGAATTCATGAGACAGAACTAAACAGGTTTGAAAACAATTTTTGAAAAAACCTGTGGACAGAAAACTGACTAAATTCTGTTTAGAACTAAATGCTAACACCCTGTGCTAAATTCTGGAGAAGAGTTAATTCACGTGAAAGTACTAAAATAACATGCTAAGTTCTTTTCCTTTCAAATCTCCATAAGAATTCATGCAAACTCATTAAACAAATATAAAATTGAGTAGTAATCACAAGAACTAACTTTGTAAAGAATCTGCATAGTTGGGCAACAAAGCTAGTTTCATAAAACCATAATAATCAAAAAAGGAGTCTGAAGTTTTGGGTATAAGGGTGAACGAAACCCTTACTGAATACCCACATACCTGGTGAAGAAAACTACGGAGAAATCCTTTGAATTTTGAGGCTAACTTGAAGGAAAGCTCTGCTTGTTCTGGAGAGAAAACTATCGCCTCTTTCTCTTCCTTCCTTTCTAAGTCTAATGATTTTAGGACAATGAATGTTTTAGGTAGATTTTGACTAATTAATTGGGCTTAGACGAGGTAAAATGATGTAGTTTAAGTACCAAACATATAGGGAAAATACCACTACGACCCTGACTTAAAGTTGACGAGGTGCCTCTCACGGGAGGCTTCACGGGCCATCTATGACGGCCCTTCTAGTGGATTGTGATGTTGCCCTGCCTGACAGGCTTCACTAACATGGGCATAACTTTTTATTCCGGGCTCGAAATTAGGCAAACTTGGTGGTGTTGGAAAGATGACTCAAAGATCTTTAATTTTATAGGTCATGGGCCACCTAATTCATTTTTTGCTGAGAGAGATGATCGCTTGTAGTTGACCCAAAACTCAAAATCTGATGAGTCCCTTTCACGGATGACTTCAAGGTTCGTGTGAAGATTCACGAACCGTCTAGGCATCTGTGGTCCTTCAAAGTGGCCTTGGGGATTCTGTGTCCTTTTCATAAATGACCTCACGGTCTGTGTGACGCTTCGCGAACCGTTTAGGCATTTTTGGTTGTTCCAGTTGCTGGGTGCAAGTCCACGGGAAAGGTGACGGTTCGTGGTCCTCTTCACGGCCCGTGAACCCCTCCGTGGATTGCCCTTCTCTACCAGGCAATCACACTGAAGTAAGCCACCAGCAGGAGGAGGATGAAATTGTGATGATGAAAAAAAGAAGTCATTGTGGTAATAAAGTTGAAGTTGATTCAGAAGAGATATGTTCCATATGCCTATCTGAGTATGTAAATGACGACTCAATTGGTACACTCCGTTGCGGACACGAATATCACGCAACGTGCATATAGAAATGGCTAATGAAGGGCAAGAAAAATTGTCCAATTTGTAGATCTTCTGTTTAACAGAAACTTGACTTTTCTTTTTGTGGGCCATCACCAACTAAGGCAAATGGAGTTATCAAGTAGTGTGAAGTCCACTTACGTAGCGTCATAGCTTATATGTATTGTGGGCCCTAGAGCATGGAGATGGGCCTAGTGGGGGCCCAATAGTTATTCCAAGAGACAAAAAATAACAGCAAGTGGGCATTCCTCTTTCAACATGGCCTACAAACAAGTTTCCTCATTTTATTGAGTTAATATATCAAAAGGTCACTTAACTTTAACAATTTATCTAGTAAGAAATTGAAGTTTTACAGGGCGACGTGCACGAATTTTATTCCATGAATCAACTACGGAGAAGTTGATAAGGAAAAATAAAATGGCTATGGAATTGGATGCCATTTTGACCAAAAAAATAAAGTACAAAAAACAAAATATAAATGCAAGTACCAGTTGGATCTGGTCCATGAATTAGTTCAATAATATTGAACGGTGAATGGAATTCAATTGTTGTCAGATGACAACAGGGAATATGGACCAAAATTATTTAAAACTTGGCCTTTTAATGATAAAATATAGTTAAATGATTTTTTTTGATACAAAAACTTAAGTTGAATGATTTTATTGATACAAAACAAAATTTAATGACTTTGTTAGATAAATTGTCAAAGTTGAGTGACCTTTTGAGATGTTAACTCCATTTTACTTGTAGCTATGGCCCTTCCTTGTCCACAAATATTTATATGAAAAAAAACTTTGTAATATAGTAAATTAAGGATCAATATTTATCTGAAATATAATATTGTTCTAATATATATTATTGGAAAAAAGGACAAATATACCTCCGAACTATCGTAAATGATATGCAGATGTTCTCTGTCATACTTTTGGGACATTGGTACCCCTATTCATCCGATATAATAGGAACGTTCTCACTAATGAACCTCTGCATGCTCAACATAGTTAGATAGAAGAACATTTTCTGCTGCCATCTCTTGAGGTCGATTCCAGAGAACTTTGCAGGTTTCTCAGCCGGTGCAAGGGCAACAGTTGAACGATTGTGTGCAATCAATATTGTTGTTGCAACACTCACTGTTCCAACATTTACTTGACTTGAATTTGTCATTTTTCTGTCACAAATGGGAGACAATTTTAGTATGTGAAATACTAACAGTAAAGAATAAATTCTTACACAACATGTTTCTGATTTAACGATAAAGTTTATATGTTTTTTTAATCGTTAATCAAATGAATTTTAAAAATTCAAACAGAGTAGAAAATCATAAATGTTTTAATCTCCAGAAACCTCAAATACAAAAACCAAAATAAATTTCTTAAGTTTGTTATCTCCTGTATTCAGGTTAGGAAAAAATAGAAATAGAAAAAATATGAAACAGATAGAAAATAATAATCCAAGTCCACAGAACCCACTGTGTTTCCTTAAGAAATTTAATCCCCTCAAGTACCCGAGGTTACAGATTAATTTCTCCCGAGATAAAACGAATTAACTATTAGAGAAGTAGCGGTACCTCAAACTTCACTAATTTCAGCGAACGCAAGAACAACAACGAGAACACACACAAACTCAGTTGAACGACAATTTTATTTTTGTAAGAAAATGTATGCAGAGAGAAAAAAAATCAGTGTTGAAAAACGAAAAAAGTCTCTCTATGTATAGCCACTTGCAGCAAGGAATGCGTCTATTCGGAAAATGGTGTGAACGCTTCTGTTCAGACATGTCTTTCCAGAACGTTATGTCTTTTGGGAAAAATAACGTCTTTTCAGAAGGAACAAGTCCTTTCAGAACGACTTTACCATTATGCGCAAATTTCAAATAATTCTGTTACGCGAAATTAATTTTGTTAATTAATTAACATTCTGAATTAATTTATAAGAGAAATGAAATCAATTAATGAGATTGATTAAATAAATTTTGTCCAAAAATATTACCAATCAAATTTGAAGCCGAGCGAGAGACGACGACGGCGCAAGGAGCACCTTCTTCTTAACCCTTTAAAAACTAAAGAAAGTATTTCCTAATATAAGAACAACAATTTTTCTTTCTTCTACCAATATGGGATAAATGATTTTTCATCTTCAAAGACTTTTCATTTGAAATGACTTTTCATTTTCCCTCCAAAATTGGTTCCCCATATTTTCCATTTTCTCTTCTTATTTCCCATTCACACATTGCTAAAACTCAACACCTTGTTCGTAGAAGTCAGACAAAAATTCAAGTTTTGGTATCTTAGTTCACGAACTAGTCTACAACCTATAGACTGGACCCGTAAATCACAAACAAATTTCCGATCTGTGAAATTGATCTATGAATCTCATCTATGGTATGCAGTTACGATGTATTTGAGAATATTATGTTCAAAGAAAATACCATTTTGATTTTCCAAATAATAACTAATACAAACACATTAAAACAAAGGGGAG